CCTTCCTTCCTACTCTCTCTCTCTCTCTCTCTCTCTCTCTCTCTCCTTCCTCTGGTCTGGGCAATACCGACTGGTACTGACCCATATGAGTGTTGGTATGCCATCCTATACCATATCAGACCATACAGGTAACAGCCTAAGAATTTTCTAATTCATTATTGAGATAATGTTCGAGATTACTGGATTAGATGGAATAACAAATATTTTCATTTGTGAAAATATGATTAGCCTTGATAAGATAAAATTAAGAAAATTATTCAGAATGACATGAATATGTTCAAAGCAAATCAATTAAACAAGGAGAGTCAATTAGGATTTACAGCATAAGGTTCATAAGGAAACCTTATGAAACTTTACTGAATGCAGTAAGAACATATTTGACATTAGGATTTGGTTTAAATACGGATATTATTCTACATAAAGCATAATGGCAAAAGAAGATCCATATAATCAACCCTTATTAATCGAAAAAATATGACTTCTGTTATTGTTGTTCCATTGGAATTCCACATACATGAATTACATGTGAAAATTTGGAATATTTAACAATGCTAAATATTCATGAGCATGTACTTTTAAGAATCATAAAATAAGAGCTTCACAATTAAAGAATTATTGGACACAGAGAAACCACAAAAGGGTAACCGAATCACCTGGGCAATCAGTTCTAGGTTCTGTCCTACTTAACACAATGCCTTCAAAAGTTCCAGCCCATTCGTCCCTCTTAGTGAGGTATGAAGGGAGATCAAAAATTTTCTTCACTGTCGCTGGTATGGATGAATGTTCATACTCTGAAGTTGGAGTTGGTATACCATTGGGACCATGTACGACTGCATCCACCATATGAAATTATTATTAACTAACAAACTAGGCCATGACCAATAGTGAGATAATCAGTGTCCATCAACTTACCAGTACCCTTTTCAATCCAAGGAGAGACCATGATCGTTGGGACCCTTACACCCAAGCGGTCAAATGTGAAGAAGAAGGGTTCTGGGCCGACTATCCCATCAGGGCTTGGGACACCCTTTACTGGTGTTGGAACATGATCAAAGAAGCCACCATGCTCATCATAGGTGATGATGAACAGGGTTTCATTCCACTGAGGGCTGGAGCGAATGGTTTCATAGACCTCCTTGACAAACAACTGCCCTTGGTAGACATCATGGGATGGGTGATCATCAGTTGCAGGTTTATCCTTCTTGTCCATATATCGCTGCTCAATGACAACATAGTTGGGAAGAGAACCGTCGCCTGCATGTTTCTTGAATTTTTGTTCATACGAGTGGAATTTAGAGATATATTTGAGCTTCCGAAGATTGCGATAGAAAAGAGTGGCAGGCACATTTTGGTAGTATATTCCAAAAGAGAGATCTGCATCATCAATATTTTCAAATATTGTTCTCTGTGGATACCCGATTGCCAGCTTGCTGCATGATTATAGTGTTCTTATGATGTTAGCTACTTCAGAAAATGCACATTATGCGTCCTATGCATATAATTGAGATACATATATGAAATAATCCAAGCATTTGAGATGCAATAAGTATATAACTTTTGTCAGGGAGTCCTATATAGAACCTTATTTGCAAGCATAATCTTGCAACATATATAATTGTGATAACTTTCAGCAATGCTATATCACAAATCATATTGAGTTGATCTTTAAATAATTGCTATATGATAAATTTCTATAAGCATAGTCTAATTCTGTACAATGATATCTTCTTTCTTATTTTACAATGATGGCATATGATGAGTTGCTTGAGAACCATCTCAGTTATAAAATGTTTATCAACCTTACCATTTTGCAAATTATCAAATAACACACGTGTACATGACAGTAGGTGTAGTATAAAAGACAATAAAGAAGAATAACCCTTATCATTTAGAATAATGTAAACTCTGGAGAACAAAGTTCCCAAGAATACCCATTTTCCCCAATCTTATGTTAGTAGCTCAAGCAAATACACCAGAGAAAATTATCAAGATATTCTTTTGACACTAACATTTTATGACCTTATTGATGTAGCGCAATCACTTATGCCTTGTACATTCAACTTGGGCTTATAGATCTATGCATTTTTTTTGTGAATATCATACCAACTAATCAATCTAGGACTTTGTCAAACCAATATATTGGATGTCTATATGCATAGTAAACCATCCTTGAATGACAGATAATCAATCTATGTGCCAGCATTCTAACTTCCACATGTTTTCTCTACTTTAAGAATATATGAAATATAAATATGCATATACGAAAATGATGAGATAAGATTTTCATCTAAATGCCATTAATACTTGCTTAGAAAGACATTCAAATCTGATTATGATCCTTAGACTAATTAAAATTGAGCCATGTTTCTTCGAACCTCAAAATTCTCTTTTTCAAGCGACAAATCAACCTCCAAATAAATTTCTTCTTCATGACACAAAGGAAGCTACAAGTATCTTCTTCATGAAGCAAACCAAGCTTCAATTAGGCTGAGAGTGGGTCAAATAGGAAAATTATTAAATCAGTTGAAATCAATTATTGAATCTAACTTCATAAAGAAAGGTTTGTTTAGAGTTAATTGTCCTATCTAAATTTCTAGTATTGACCTGTAATGAGTGTCGATACCCCACCCCACAAGAGTACCATATGGATCAAAATGTGGACTGATATGTGATCGAGATTTTATTCCTCAGCCCATTCAAAATAAAGTTTTTCCTCTAAATACTTTTATACTTGGACCAGTGATCAAAATGAGTATTTACTGCAACTCATCATACCTATAGCCCAATTTAAAGCAAAGATGAACATTATCCGTTCAATTAAAGATAAATCCTCAACATGAAATCTTTGGCAAAATGACGAACATCAATGATCAACCTTCAGCAAAATGGTCAAGAATAAAAAACGATGGCAACAATTTCATTGATCTTACAGCTTGGAGTGCCATATAACTGCACATGAAATCCTTCTACTCTAAGCACATCCCATAGCTTACTCAGCTAAATAAGTTTCAGTAGCAAAGTTTTAGAGGCCATTAATCAGGTATAAGAACACCCCTCTACAAATTCACTGCAAAAACTATAAGTGATTTATTTACATCCCCCACTAGATGATTTTTCTACCAAGTAATGACAGTGCAAAGATCGTTATACTCGAAAGAACTTGTACAACAACAGTAACCATGAATAAGGCGAACAGTATTGGAAGTTTGGAACTTGATAAAGCAGATTTACCCATTGTAATTGGTCACTCATAGCAGTAAATTGTCAGGTGTAATCACAAGGATAAACCCAATTTTTTACCCGTTATTTCAAGTATTGATAAAAGTGAGGCCCAGGTACCACCGATCACGGCATTCTATGACTCAGCTGAATCACCCCGAAAAAGTTTACTGGGTGATGATTCGTGTCAATGGCCCAATGCATCGGCCCCACATGTGTGCGTCCCACCAGGTAGATGGGACACACGTCACCCAGACAATTCTTATGGGTGATTCAGTCCGAAATAAATAGCAGTAGTCACAAGACAACCCTATCTGAGGAGCATTAAAGATGCGGGCCCCGCGTCAATCAGGAAGGACAATGATCACCCACCCACTCCGAGCTCACCCAAATCACTCTCTTCGTTGCTCGAGGAACCAAATCAGACACCGAAAAAATGGAAACAACGACAGAAAAGTCGAAGCAAATCAAGAAAATGTCGCAAGAAGTCGATGTGGTAGCCGATTGGGAGCAGAAGAGGAGCTGTACCTGGCGACATTGCTGGTGGCGCCGTGGGACGTGCCGGAGTGCACGAAGAGGCGGTTGGGCTGCGTCGACGACGGCACCGACGCGAACCAGCGGTCGAACACGGCGAACTCCCCCACCAGCGCCCGGTACACTGCCACCATCTCCGGGGGGAACCCGTTCATGACGCTCTCCGTCATGTTGTCCGACATGGAGCGCGCCTGCTGCACGAACCCGTTCATCGGCGCCGGGTCCGCCGACGTGTCGTTGGAGCCGAAGATCTGCTCCCGGATCGCCTGGAAGGAGTGGCCCGGGTCCGGGTCCACGAAATGGGCGCCGTCGCGGAAGTAAACCCGGTCGGACGCCGCGTCCGACGCCGACACCGGGTTCCACTCCGACCCATCGACCCCGTTGATCGCGGGGTTGAGCCGCTTCATCCACCCCAGCATGTGGTCGAACGACCGGTTCTCCATCACCATGACCACCACCGTCTTTATCGGCCCCGCGGCGGAGGCACGCAGGCAGCCACCGGATGAGAGGAGGAGGAGCAGGAGGCAGCAGCAGGACGACCGAAGGGATTGGTAACGAGAAGGTCGAGGGCGTCCCCCGGATGTCCCCATTCTTTCCGCTTGATCCAGTGAACGACTGCGGTTGTTGGAGGAGAAACCACACGGACTTTATATAAAGCAGAGATGGTGGGCGTGGCTGCGGCGCCATTAAATGCTCTCGTGGGCCGAGCTGGTGCGGCCGCGTGACGGCCTCTGCTTTTTTCCAGCCATTTTCGTCTCTTTTGTGAGAGATGTTTGTGATTCCGTGCCGTTTTGTAGAATACGATCTGCTTTGTAGCGGGAATGTCCGGCTGGAGAAGACATGCATCTCTTGCGTGTAAACGAATCAACGGATCGTACTTCTGGATCAAAACCGGTATATAATATCTCTGTATCGCTTATAACGACATAAGGTAAACTATATTGGATTATAACGGCACCCCTCAGTGGGATGTTATTGAAGAGAGAGAGAGAATGATTAGATACCATATAAATAATAGTGATATCAAACCATGGTATCTGTCATTACAATCAATACTCATTAAGATGTAA